TTTAAGAGATCATCGGACAATCGTTTATTCGACCATCAGACAATGATATATAATCATAGACTAATATATATATATATATATATATATATATATATATATATATGCGCGTGTGTATCTGTTTGAAAGTGTGTGTGTGTTTGTTTGAAAGTGTGCGAGTCTGTTGCAGTTATATATATAACTAGTGAGCCAGTCAAAATAACTTGACTCACTTTATAATCCACCAATAGAAGGGTAACCAATCAGAAGACGTAGAACATTCAATCCGTCGTGTATAAAGGCGGCTATTTTGTTCACTCTACCCGAATGTCCAGTCCAGCTTGTCAGGCGAAGAGAAACAGAAGGACGAACTACGCTCTGCTCCCTTTTACCAAAATATCCGTTGCTAACGTGAATAACGCTTTCCTACTTTCTTCAAGATATTAACTGCTAACCTCTGGATTCTCTACTCAAGAAGACCGTCATTATGAACAACAGAATCTGTGTACCTCTGTATATTTGAGCCGTATCCCTGGTTTTTATTATTGCCATCATTACAACGGAGACATTAAAACAATTTTACGAAATTTGCAAATTCACTAGGCTAAAACACGTATTCTCGGCTATCCGAAATTACGAAAATGGAAGAAATAATTCAGAATAATTTAGTTTGCAGCAATGATTATTATTCTACTACTAGCAAGTAACATTGTGCTCTATCGCTTACTCACCGTAATGGAATACAATATCTTCCTCTGTACTCTGGACGATGCATAAACCATCCAACAAAACTTTCGTCTTGAATGAAGAGCACTAAGCATGCTCGATAATGTAATTTTGGGGAGGCAACAAAGGAAAAAAAGTCCCCCAAATGTATTCTCAACCTAAGCGACCTTTTAAAATGAAAGCCATGTTTTGTTTTCTGACAATGATAGACAAATGGTCCGTGTATTCTTCGATGGTTGGGAAATCTCAGATGCTTTAGTCAAAATATTGTTTTTTTTCCGTTTTAAAACAATTCAGATCAGGAAATTTATTGCTTTGGCTTAATCCATTTGAATATTTGGTGAACATTGTACTTCGGTTGTCATATTTATTTTCTCGAGGAAAATGGTCAAATCCTTATTTTTTTTTTAATTATTTAACCTCTTTCTGGAAAAGAAAGTGTTGATTAAACATTTTAATTCAAGTATTTCAATTCTAGACAATCAATCACAGAGGAGCTTTTGGTTAGCAAGATTGAAGTTCAAATATGGTAAATTCGACCTTGCTAACCGAACGCTCCTCTGTGGCCAAATCGGTAAAGGCACGTCAAGCTAAATGACGGTTCCGTATAGGGCACAGTTTTGAATCCTGTCGCAGGACGAATATTTTCTGTGAAAATTTCTCGGACTTCAGGCCGGTAAATTTTGTTTAATACTGTTTATTATAAACAGGGCATTTACTTAAATATTTGTATCTATATAAAGAAAGAATAAACATAAAATGTCTTAAAATAATTGTCGGACATTGTCCATTTCATAATATTTGTTTAACACAATTCCTCACTTGTGTCTTTATTTCTGGCCTTAACGAAGCCACACAAAGCGGCAGTCAAGACAAAAGGGTTTCATGAGAGGACAATTATATATCACGATAGGTGAAAGTTCAGGGTTTTTTGTCGAATGTTCGTGTGCCATATACCTACAGGACGACGACTATCATAATTATCATCTATTTCTGCTCCTTTATTTCTCTAAGCAACGGTCCAGTCTTTAACATCTTTCATTGCATCCGCCGTGCTCTTCATTCACAAAAAAATCTCTTTAGGTGGGTTGTTCAATAATTTCTTCTGCTGTTCCGACGTACAATATGTCATGCGAATATAAAATTGTTTCCTCATTAATTGTTAAGCAGTACACACAACAAGCTTCTAGAAACAAAAATATGGTGATATTCCCAGGCCAAGTGATTATTTCGTTTGTTTTGCTGACAGCGATAAAAATCATATAATGCGACTCCGCACGAAGACTTCAAATTATCCAAATCAATTATTAAATTTATTTTTCCGGTCGCAATATTTATCACACCGCTGAAGATTCATATAAAGAAGGTTAGAAAATTAAATCAGTTATAATTAAATGCTTTTGGTATTTATATTTTGATATTTTTCTGACATCATGATTGTACAGTTATCTATGGTTTTGACAGGTTTCTGTCTAATGAGAGGCAGCGATGAGTTAATTTTAATAATTTTAAGCTGTTCGACTTCCATAGATGAAACGAGGGGAGTATTATTTTTGTTTTCTTTTGCCACTTTTCACCAGAAAAACATAGTAAAATTAATAATGAGGATAATTCTACAGAAGCATTCTAACAACCTAATAGTGTTGCATCAACGAATACTACTACTACTACTACCACTAGTAGTAGTAATAGTAGTATTTATAGTGTAAACAAACAATATAACCTAAAAATAATTTCGTTCACAGAAAAAAGTAGTCATCTTCGTTATTTGTTTTACCTTGGTTTGTGACCTTCCGGAATCAAATATGGAAGGTCATGTAAAGCAAGGTCCCGTGAAATTGTTATTGAATTAAACGCTTCCTTCCATGGAAACATTCGACATTAATTGAAGTAATAGTTAGCGGTACTCTCATTTAAAATTTTTTAAATCTTAGGCAGATTTTTGTTTTCAAATCAACGGTTTTCACATGTCAAGTAACTGTTATCGTTCTTCCCAGTACTGAAGGGAGCTTCATTGCTAATTTTAGCTTGAAATAATATAGACAGTCAAACTATTGGCATTATTTTCTCTTCGTGTTACATGTGTCATGCATTTAATTGTTGCTGTTGTTGAAAAATCGTCAAGTGATAGGGTTTCTTCTATTTTGTAGACCCTTTCCTTGTGATTCTGCAGTGCCCGTCTCCGAGGTGCAAAGATGGTCTTCGTTAAGATATACAAGCTTCATTCGATCGAATCGATGCTTTACCACTGACATAAGAAAGAAGATGTATACAGTTTAGATATTTATGAACGCGGTTGATGAAATGCATAAAGAGAGTCTAGATGGCACGAAGATATTTAAAAATAGGACTAGTGTTTTTAGGTTATTTTTTTAGTGGTAAAGCAACTTGCAAGATTGGGGAAAAAGACTATCGCTCGAGCAGCCTATTATACGTTCAATTTCTTTATATTCTGTACTAAATCTGTTATAGATCTTTCATCCACCGATGTATTTGAAGTGTTCAGCCTTTACTAATTTCAATAAATTTTCACGATGAATTCAGGATTGGTGACGTCACTCTTTCATCACAATTCAAGGTTGTGAATTCCGTTGTGTCATCGTTTATCTTGAGTCGTACTTTCTGGAATACCTGGTTTATCTTGAGTCATATTTCCTGGAATACCTGATTTATCTTGAGTTCTAACCAGGTATTCCGAGAAATAGAACTCAAGATAAACCAGGTATATCCTTATTGGTCTAAGAGCGAAATACGTCATCAATGAGAATGATTTTGGAAAGTGTTCCGGTGAGTATGATCCTGATCTTGCTGGAAGATTGCGAAGTTATTTTGAACTCATGAAAAACTCCAGCATCATCAAACATTAATAATCGTTTCTACTAGATTGCCCGTTTAAGTTATTGAAGTAATGTTCTTCATTCTAAATAATCACCACTTTTTTTTTTCATTTTATCTTTTGCATATGCTTAACTACTGCCTGATGTAACGACTACAAGCCCGCTTAATTTGGTCAAAATTTTTCAAAGGGAACATTAACATTATGTCATGAATTATTCTAAAAAAGGGCGATAGATAGATGAGAAAATGAATAAACATTTGAAAACGTGAAGAATATTCCAGTTGAAAGATGTTAACGAAACGTATAGTAATAAGCATATAAACTGAACAAGTTAATGAAATGTCAAGTTCATGCCTCTTCGTTATGGCATGAACGTACATGGTTTTATGATTTAAAAGTGTCCATCACAATGACTTTCGTCTATATTGACATGTACTAATTTAATAGGTAGGCAAAAACGATGTTCATTTTTGCTAGTATTGGAACGATGTGTAAGAAGAATTAATACATATGCTTTGCAATCAAAATAATGTTCGGTTCAAAATTCTAATCACCTGAAGAAGGCTGGAGAGTACAACGGCCGACACATCATGAATATGACAACAAAGATTCGGAAAACAGGCCGAAAAATGTAAATAGTGTAAATAATTACAATATATCATCTCAGAAATATAGACAGACATTAAAGGATCGGTACGGCCCCGATACACCAAAAAATGGAGATCATTTTTTAAAACGTCCCACCATTAGCTGGCACGAATGTCCAACCAACTAATATTTCTACACCGATACAGAGATTACGACTCATCCCTTCAAGATTGGCACAAAGACTTCGTTCGGATCGAATCTCAAATCACCTGAGGAATGAAGATACAGCGGCAGAAACGTCGCCTATATGACAACAAAGATGATGGCAACACTCTGTACAATGTATATAGTGTAAATAACTACAATACCTCATCTCAGAAATATAGACAGATATTGTAGGATCAGTACTGACCCGATATACCAAAAATATGGCGATAACTAGAAAAGTCCCACTTGAAGCTGGTATGAATGTCCAACCCTCTAACATCTCTGCACCGATGCAGAGATTTGTACTCATATCTTCAGGATTGGCACCAAGTTTTTTGTTCAGTTCAAAAATCTAATCACCTGTTAAAAGGAGCGTACAACCGCTGACAAATCGTGAATATGGCAACATAGAAGATAACAGTCCGATCAATGTAAATAGTGTAAATAATGTTAATGTAAAATAGTAAGTTGGTATAAATATGTGAACAGTGGTTCATTTTTTGTATTTTTTCACACTTTTTATTCTTTATTTTTAAGTAGTTTTTTTTTCTGCCTTGTACATTCATGCAAATTATTTTATTATTCCTGGCACTGCTTTTCTTTCGTTCTATCATTTTTCATGGTTCATTTTTTTTTCTAAATTTTGCGTCGTGAACTCTTTCAGTCTATCTATCTATCTATCTATCTATCTATCTATCTATCTATCTATGTACTAATATTATTTTTCATTTCTTTCTTTTATTATTCTTTCTGACAGACCCTAAATAATTCTTTTTTTTTTTCTTGCACGGTTTTTTTATTATGCTTTACTTTCTCTCATTTCTTTTCTGATTACTTCATGTACTTTCTTTCATTTTACTCATGACAGTCTTTCTTTCAAATTTTACGTCGCACGTCTTTAATGCTGTTTTTTTTTCTGCATTCCTTTCTTTCTATATCTTTCGTATTTTCTTTCTTTGTACTTTTTCGTCGCACTTTTTTCGAATTTGTTTTCTTTTATATCGTATATTTCCCTGTAATTTCTTTTTTTTTTCTTTCTTTCGTTCTTCATTACTTTCTTTATCTTTTCATTTTTTTCTTTATCTTTTCATTTTTTCTTTATTTCTTTCTTTATTTTTCTTTCTTTCTTCATTTTTTCTTTTCATTTTTTTCTTTTTTCTCCTCTCTCTTAGTTTTTTTTTTCTTCTCTACCCTTATTTGTTTTTTTTTTTTGTTTCTTCCTTTCTTTATTCTTTTTTTACGTTTTTTTTTCTATTTTTTATTCTTCTGTTGAAGTGTTTCTCCAAGATGTTAATAATTACTATGCCATTATTTTTTTTTTTTCCTTCATTTTTTCATCACGTTTTTCTTTTCTTTTTCATCATTCCTTTCTTTCATTCTGTTGAAGTGTTTCTCCAAGATGTTAATAATTACTATGCCATTATTTGTTTATTGTAAATTCTTTCTTCCTTCATTTCATTCTTTCTTTTGTTACGTTTTTCTTTCTTTTTTTCCTCATTCCTTTCTTTCATTCTGTTGAAGTGTTTCTCCAAGATGTCAATAATTTCTATGCCATTATTTGTTTATTGTAAATTCTTTCTTCCTTCATTTTATTCTTTCTTTCGCTACGTTTTTCTTTCTTTTTTTTCCTCATTCCTTTCTTTCATTCTGATGATCTGTTTATTTTTTTCTGTAATTTCCTTTTTTTAATCTCTTCATTCTTTTCTTTCTTTTAAACTCTCTATTCTTTTCCTGTCTTTTTCCCTTCCTTTCTCTCATTTTCCAATGATGGTATCTTTCTTTAATGTTTCTTTTGAGTTTCTTTTTTCTATTCCATTCTACCTCCTTTGTTTTTTTTGTTTTTTTGTCATTTAAAGACTTCATCTGTGGCAAATCTGCCTTTGCCGTTTTTCTCTCATTTTCCGCTAATTACGCCCGATGTACTATTTGATTATTCTTTGTTGCTTGCCAACGAGTTGTTTTATTGCTTTCCGAGTCCGAATTGTCGCTGGAGAAAGCACATGAATTGACAATATCAAAGCGAACCACATCGAAATCAGAGAGTAACGGATGGCACACAAGTGACAGACACAAGAGAATCATTAATGATTCAAACGGAAGCAAAGAAACAACGGACAGGACAAAGGAAAAGAACGGTAGAAGAAAGACGGCTGTACGCGAGGCTGTTGATATGGCAAGTGAAAAATCCTGGCTGCAACAATGTGCAATTGGAGTGCAGGGTATAAAGAGAAATGAAATTAGTCGTAAAGGATGGCTGAAAGTGAAAAGTACAAACAGAGGGAAACAGAAAAAAAATAACAACGAATGAAATGTAAAAACGAAATAAAGGAAGTAAAAGAGAGATCGAGAAACAAAGAGATAATACGTAAAAATATGGTGACGATTTCGAATATATACAATGTAATATTAGTAACACGGGTGCTACTATAGGGTGCGGTCTACTGCGCTATGAATTATACAGTGACTTCACCTCACCTGACTTGCCATCCACTTGCGCTCTACCACGATGAATTCTACGATCAACTCGCCTCACTGTGCTGTCCACATAAAAGGAAGGAAATGAACTTCCACTTTAGAATCCCTCTAGCTCTGAAACCGTTAACATTAGTTGAATAACGTCCTTCACATTAAAATGTTGCGCAAAGATTTTTATAGACGTGTCATTTTGACAGCGGAAAAAGCAGTCTCACTTTTTACGAGAGAACAATCTACTATGAACGCTATAGTGTTTGATACCTCGGTCGACCGCATTCTATAGTAGTAAATGAGGTAGACAGCACGCTATAGTATGTGATACCTCGGTCGACCGCATTCTATAGTAATAAATGAGGTAGACAGTACGCTATAGTATGTGATACCTAGGTCGACCGCATTCTATAGTAATAAATGAGGTAGACAGCACGCTATAGTATGTGATACCTCGGTCGACCGCATTCTATAGTAGTAAATGAATTAGACCGCACGCTATAGTGATTGATACCTCGGACGACCGCATTCTATAGTAGTAAATGAGGTAGACCGCACGCTATAGTGTGTGATACCTCGGTCGACAGCATTCTATAGTAGTAAATGAGGTAGACCGCACGCTATAGTGTTTGATACCGCGGTCGACTGCATTCTATAGTAGTAAATAAGGTAGACCGCACGTTATAGTGTTTGATACCTCGGACGACGCATACTATAGTAGTAAATAAGGTAGACCGCACGTTATAGTGTTTGATACCTCGGACGACGCATACTATAGTAGTAAATGAGGTAGACCGCACGCTATAGTGTGTGATAACTGTGTCGACCACATTCTATAATATTAAATGAGGTAGACCGCACGCTATAGTGATTGTTACCGCGGTCGACCGCATTCTATAGTAGCAAATGAGGTAGACCGCACGCTATAGTGATTGATACCTAGGTCGACTGCATTCTGAGGTATGCGGTAGACCACACGTTATAGTGTTTGATACCTCAATCGACCGCATACTATAGTAGTAAATGAGGTAGACCGCATGTTATAGAAGTACCGTAATATGCAACCAGACTATTTTTCTAATAAAAAATAGTAATCAGGCTAGTCGGATTGACAACTTTTCATGATTTCACTCGTGCAAGACGGTACAGCTACTAAAACACAATGAGTTTCTGAAAGAGAAAGTCCCAGAAAAAATGTTACAGATGAGGAAGGGGAATAAAAAGAAAAATATTCAAGCAGATATTTGACGTTAATTCTACATTTTTGAAAATCACAAGAAAACAAGGAACCAGGAATGACTTTCACAAGCGAGATGTATGACAGAAGAAAATATTTGAAAAGAGCCTACTTAACAACTACAAAAGTAATGTGGCGAGATCTAGCTTCCTATAGTATACTACACTTTAATTAACGAAGCCATGGTACCAAAGACGAAAGCTCATCAGAACTTTTGACACGAAGCTATTTAGATAAAATGAATCCCGTTTCATCCGAGAAGTTACCTTTGATCACACGTGGGCGCCGTATGCAAAAGCAATTATCTTCACACCTGTATCCAGTTCTGAGAACGTGAGAAAGATTCGTGATACACGTGATTATATTAAAAAAATAGAGAGAAATGGGGCAGTCTCTGATAAATCGACAGACGAAGGTGTAAGGAGGAGGTTCCGTTCAGTAAGTGATGCAGGCAGGTGTCAAACAATTGTTAAATAAAATGCAGTGCGAAATATGTAACATTTAAGTATCTCGTTATACGTTAGACAGCTCACGTTAACTTTAATAACCACACCTACTTATATATAGCGGCGTATGGTGAGAAATTTGAGGAAACCTCCTGTAACCTAATCCCTATTGATAATCAACAAACTTCAAAGGTGGACATATCTTACTTTTATCACTGATTCATGAAGGCATCTATTATTTAGTATCTGTCATTATAAACGTTGCAGCGAAGGTACATTCATAGATACACAGGTTTGAGCCACCAGTATTCCCAATGTATTCATATGAAAAGGAGGATATTCCCTTCACAAAGCTTCTTGTTTAATAACACTAATTTCTGAAACAGACTCCTGCGTGGATGCTTTCCAGAAAACTAAAATTTTGAAAAAAGTATTTATACTTTAAAAAATCTATACATTCAGTTAGAAGTAAAAATAAAGGACAGCCAAAAGCTTTCGGACATAGAGAGCATTCGGACAATTTCTTCATAATTTATGTCCAGAAAAAATTAATTTAGAAGAACGGAAGAAAAATTTTAAAAAATATCTAAGTACAGTACCGTTTCTATTGTTTTCAACAAAAGGAACGTTGCACACACACACACACACACACACACACACACACACACACACACACACACAAAGAAACACATTTATATAAACACACACAATGTTCATTATAACAAAACTTAATAAATTAAACCATCAATTTTGAATAATAAGATCCTTATATTCGAGTTGTTGTTTGATGGAAGATACATGCAACTTTGCATTTTCAAATTGTCATCTTCAGGAAATTTTCCTTAAACAGGCAAAAACTTAATGAGACATGAATAACGTTTTACCAATAATTCTTGTTCAAATCGTTCAAGTGAGAATTTTTGATTGACGTTTGATAAATAAATAAGAAAATTTTATTTCTCTATATATTTAATTGTTATATATATATATATATATATATATATATATATATATATATATATATATATGGTAAAATATAGTTTTTTGTTGCCATATTTGATGGATAAGGAATGACTATGGCGTATAAACACGGAACAGCCTATCGCCACTGGGCATTGATCTCAAACTTTTTGTCATCTATCCATGATATTGGCGCATTAACCCATGAATATAATGCCTTGAGGCTTTAATATATATATATATATATATATATATTTTGAACAATAAGAAAATAAAAATTAAAAATTAAAAATTAAAATCATTAGACACACTGGGTTTGTAGATTTTTTTTTTTTTTATTATTATTATTATTCCATTTAAATTCCTCGACTAGTTTGAAAAATATCATCGTGCTTGTTCAAGGGAACTACAGAAATGAATGTCTTTTGTTGGAGAAAATGAAAGTTTTCATTTGTTTTTTTATTTTTTATCTTTTTCAAATCTTTTCATTCCTTGTGTTGGTCAAACAGTCTCTTTTAAGTTGTTATTTGAGATAAGAACTGGATTACATATTATTCTGAATTCTCTGGTGTTTGACAGTTTTATTGGACCTGGTGAGGGGATGTGTCTCTGTTTAGTGTTTGTGTGTGTGTTATTTGGTTTTAA